CTTCAACGTAACGGCAGGAAAAATGTTGGGCTTTCTGATCACGCAGAGGGGAATTGAAGTAGATCTTTCCAAAATCAAGGCCATCTTAGAAATCCCACCACCAAGGACTAAAAAAGAGGTGCGTGGCTTTCTGGATAAAGTACAATTCATAAGACGGTTTATCTCCAAATTAACCTTGACTTGTGAACCATTATTTGGTCTCCTGAAGAAAGGAAAGAAATTCCGATAGGATGATCGATGTTAGTTTTCCTTTGAATATGTTAAGCAGTACCTCCAGAACCCACCTATGTTGTAGCCACCAGAGCCGGGGAAGCCTCTGATTTTGTATTTGTCAGTAACGAACTCGACCATGGGGTGCATGTTAGCTTAAGAATCTAAAGATAAGGTGGAGAAAGCCATCTATTACTTGTGCAAGAAAATGCTGGACTTCGAGACTTGCTATACTTCCTTGGAGAAAGCTTATTTACCCTTGGTATGGGTGACCAGGAAGTTGAGGCACTACTTGTTAGCTCACTCTGTAATCCTAGTTTCGAGATTAGAACCCATCAAATATCTCTTTGAAAAACCAGCGCTTACAGGTAGGCTGGCTCGCTGGCTGCTTCTTCGTTTCAAATTCGAGCTCAAATATGTTAAATGCAAGTAAGTTAAAGGAAGGGTTGTAGCAGAATTTCTGGTCGACCGCCCAGTAGAGAGAGATGAGGCAGTGGAGTACGTGTTCCTAGATGAAGACATTTTGCAAATTGAAGAGGAAACTTGGATGATGTACTTTGACAGAGCGTCCAATCAATACAGTTATGGGAAGGGCATGTTGTTGATAGCACCCGATGATTCCCATATACCCTTAGCCTTCAAACTCTGATTCAAAGTATCCAACAATGAAGCAGAATATGAAGTGTGTATTGCTAGTCTAAAAGCTGCCCTAGAACTAGGGGCAATAAGGTTAGATGTCATTGGGGATTCAAACTTGGTTGTTTCTTAAGCAAACAGAGACTGGAAAGTTAAAGAAGAGAAGATGAAGGTTTACCATTAGGGCTTGGATATTCTAATTCCGAGGTTTAAAAAGTTGACGTTCATGCATCTATTGAGAGAGAACTACAGGTTTATTGATGCTTTGGTAACTTTATCCTCTATGGTAGACATCCCGCTGGGAGTAAAGATGCGTCCATTAATCATCGAACAGAAATACATGCCGGCCTACAAGACTGTTATTGCAATAGATGAAGTGCAAGACAAAAACCCATGGTATTACGTTATTTGAAACTTTTTGGAAAAAGAGACGTGTCCACCAAGGGCCAATGCCAAGGACAAACGGAGAGTACAGCGTCTGGTCGTCCAATTTATCATCTATGGGGGCAAGCTGTATATAAGAGGTCATCTAGGAATGCACAAGTTGTGTATGGAGGAAGAGTAATCGAAGCATCTTATGGAGGCTATCCACTGAAGGGAGTGCGGGGCACACATAAATGGTGTGATGGTAGCCCAGAAGATCCTCAAACAAGGTTATTACTGGTCAACCATGGAAGAAGATTGTGTTGGCTTTGTACGACGATGCCACAAATGCCAAATTCATGCTAATTGTATGAATATACCGCCGTCTAAGCTTTATAATATGACTTCACCATGGCATTTCTCAGTTTGGGGAATTGACGTTATCGGTGCGGTCTAGCTAAAGGGCTCAAATGGACAGGAGTTCATCCTGGTGGCGATTGATTACTTCACAAAGTGGTCGAAGCTCAATCCTATGCGGTGTTGAAAACGTCGCACATGGCCAAATTCATCAGAAATAATATCATCTGCCAGTATAGAGTTCTGAACGAGATTATATCAGATAATGGCTCACACTTCAAGAAAGAGGTGGTGGATCTACTTGAGAAATATAATGTGGCTTTTCACAAGTCATCAACATATAAACCACAGACCAATGGAGCTGTTGAGGCTGCTAACAAAAATATTAAGAACATCTTACAGAAGATAGTGGAAACATACAGGAACTGGCCGGACAAACTGTCGTTTGTGCTCTGGGGCTACAGAACCTCAATCTAAACATCTACAGGGGCAACCCCCTATTCTCTCGTCTATGGGTTGGAGGTTGTTCTGCTAATTGAAATTGAAATGCTATCGCTGCAAGTTATGGCCAAGTGTCAGATAGCGGAGGCGGACTAGCAACAGAGCAGATTTTAGGAGTTAATGTTGTTTGATGAGAGAAGACTGAAGGCATTGTATCATGTCCAAGGCTACCAGTGCAGAATTGTCAGGGCTTTAACAAGAAAGCTAAGTCTAGGAATCTCAAATAAGGAGACATGGTACTGAAAGACAACCGGGCTCCCATTCGCGACCCTAAAGGCTAGTTCAAACCTAATTGGACTGGCTTTTACATTATCAAGTCAATCTGGTCAGGAGGGGCGATTATTCTCATGGACCTAGATAGCCTGGAGTTTTCACTACCAATCAATATGGACAAGTTGAAGAAATACTATCCTTGAGAGGCTCGCTATGCCGTTCGACCTAGGAAAAAGTTAGAGCTTGAAAAATTAGAAATAAAGAAAAACTGAGCTCGCAAGGTTGAAAACCCTAAAGGGCAACTTTGGCAAAAGTTAGAACGCAAAAGAAGAACGTTAATACGTAAGACCTGATTCCCATCCTTGGGATGCATAGACAACTTTATCCTGAAGTTTGGCCATAACCATCTCCAACTCAACTATCCTGTCTATTTGTCTGATCAGGTCATCTTTGTTCATTATCTGTTAGCCTGGTTGTGATCTTCATTGGTGGTGATCTTCATTTTGGGCAGAATAGCCGGTTACAATGCAGAATGTAGTGATATTCACGCAGGGGCAGTTATGATTTGCTGATTTGGGGTTATACATCTTGAGGGTTGATTTTGTGCGTGTTAGGCAGTGATCATTTTCGAAAATGGTTTTGAAAAGTTTTAATAAAAGTTGATTTTGTTTAAAATTTTACCTTTTACAACTTAGACCATTTTAGGACCAAAAGGAAAATTCTTAGTGCTCACAACTTTAATTCCATTGATTTCGACACAAGTACATTCTCCAACTCTCTAAGTAATCAAAGTTGCTTTTACATCATAAAACTTGAAAAAAAAAAACCAAAAAAGCCAAAGCAATAAACTAGGGGGCATATGTGAGATCAGGTGTTCCTGAGTCCTCTGCTCGTGCTTGTGGAAGCCTCTGCCAACGTTGGCCCAACCTGTGCCTCGTCCTCGAGTGAAGCCAAGCACTCGCTAGAAAGGGCATAACTGAAACTAGGGGCAGGGGCTAGGAGCTCTCTCATCCTCCAAGCAGCGAGGTACCGAGTCACGAAGTGGGAATGGGGCCGGGTATTCTACCCCCTCATCTAGATGGGTCTGATCATGCCCAAACTGGCATCTAAATTGGAAGGGGAAGTAGAACACACAGTGCATAAGGCCAATAAACTGAATACCTAGCTGTCAAGACATGTTGTAGCTCATCTCAACCAAGTTAAGCCAAGAGCAACACTAAGCTATGTCAGCTGCAGATCTGATGCACATCTAGTTGCACCACCACCCCTTGTTGGGAAAGTCCACTAGTCGCTGGCGAAAAAGTAAGCTTGGGCTGAATACTCGGGGCAAGGGTCTACTACTTTCAGCTTATCCATTAACCATACTTGGGAAGGGATGAAAATAAGAGAGATTAAAGAATAGGGAGATGTATGTTGAGAGAAAAGTACAGAAAAAGGGTTTTTAAGAGAAAATGGAGCGCGAGTGCCGAGTGCTGTGACAATCATATATAAGAAAGGGTGGGAAACATTACTTGAAGCAGTAATGGGCTCCCTGCAAACCTGGTGGTCTCTCGCAAGTGAAAAACATCTAAACCCATCAGGGTCTCGGCCAGTGCCAAATAAATTCGACTCTTACCCTCTCTCAGGCATTGGGCTACCTTAATCAGCTTAATGTTGGCTCTACCGTAACTAAGGGCAAGAATAAAATGCACGAGAATACATAAATGGAGGGCATGTTGCCGGAAGCCTAGCCAGAGAAGGTCGCCTCTATCGCCGATGTCAAAAAACCGATAAATCAAGCCGGGTATATCCAACTCCCCGTCATGAGCCAAAGATCGAGCTTTGTGCAAAGTAAGACTACACATCTACCTCAAAGCTTGGGCATGGCCAAAACAGGACTGAGTCATGATTTCCTCGTCGCGTCGGGATTCTAGTAGCGCTTGAAATTCCTCAAGATTTGGGCACATTTCCTAGGCTCTGAAGCAAAATACATGTGTAATTGGGTCCCAACATCAAGCCATGGCATGGAGGAAGGGAAAGCCAAGTGGAGTATGGCTCAATGAAAAAAGCGCGTTTATTCCAAAACCTTGGAAATTCACCTTTTCTGTCCCGTCCAAAGTGGTTATCCAATCCGTGAGCTTCTCGGCAAGGAATATCTCCATTTGTGGAAGAAACAGCAGCAAAAATGAGGTTCTGGTGAAGAAATGGCGAAAGAAGACCTTTTGTAGAAGATAGGGCTGTGAGTGGAGGTCAACTGTCAACCATATGGTGGTTCACCACAAGTGGCCAGCCGCCCACTTTTAGTGGCTGACCGGCCACCCTTTGTGGCCTGGTAGTTTGGCATTTTGGTTTTGTCTTGGTCCTAGTGTTTTGGGGTCTTGTTTTGAGCAAGTGTACATAGTTGTGATTGAGTTATTTTTTTACTTTGTTTTATCGAGTTGTATTTTGTATTTTGTTTTGTCGGTTGGCTCATTATTTGATTAAGAACATTGTTCTAATACAAGCATTCTCGGTTTCAAATTCAAATCCATTGTCATTATATGCAAATGTGGTGCTCATGAGGCAAGAACATGAACTCATTTTTATAACCTGCAAGGTTTTCCCCGATCATCTTTTTTTTACAAAAGAGAGTACGGGTCTTTTCAAAAGCAAAAGCAAAACCTACTTGAAGCTATATATGTCTAAGCTACCAAAACAAAAAGAAACTAAACAAAAGAGTACAAAAATCAGCACCAGTTGCGTCAAGCTTGAGAGGCCCTTTTCGTCTTCTTCCTCGGAGGGGACTCAGGGGCACTGTCTCCATTAGCGCCACTACCAGAATCTAACTCCGGGCCGGAGCCAGTGCCAGTATCTCCGCTTCCAGACTCAAAACTAGCCTCGGTATCCTCTTCGCTCTCTGATCCCGAGCTTACATCATCGTCACTGCTCTCAGACATAGAGTGTCGACTCACCGCCTCCTCGGAGTCGCTGGTCTCAGTATTATCCCCACTCAACAACGGCTCTGAGCTGCTCTGACTCCGAGCACCTCTGCCCCTGTCTTGACCTCGACACTCATCTCGGCTGCGTACTGGGGCCTGTCTACCTATCCTCCCTACCACTAGAGGGGGTGCCGCCGGTGATGGTACTGTCGCTGCCACTGCCGCTGGTGCCCTCGACGCAAGTGGAACTTGAAAAGAAAATATCAGAATATCATATATGGTGTTTGCAGATTGGATTATGTTGTATGAGTGTGATACAGAAAATGGGTGCATTGTGTCAATGCAGTGTGTTAGTACGGTGTGAAGCAGTTTCAAGATGTATGTTCAGTATGCAATGTGTCACGGTGGGTGTCGCATGGTAGAAGTATCGTGTATCCATAGGGATACGGTATGTCAGTATAGTGTGGGAAGCAATGTAATGCATAAAGGGAAAGAAAGCATACCTCGATACCATGCAGAGCGAGCAATATCTCCCTTCTCTGCAACATGTGAACTAAGGAGGCAACCAGTTGAAGAAGGCCCTCTGTATACTTTGTGGGTGCCTACAAATAAAGTTGATTAATCAATATCTGGAAAGGGAAAGCGCGGAATGCAATATGTCAACCATGGTCCATACTTAAGGTGTGCTTGGGGCTCTGACATACTCGCGCCCTGCCTCTGGTGGCTTTATCGGGAGCTTGTAGACTGTGCCGCTCGGCCGTCCACAAGGAATCGAGGTGAGAATCACTGGCCAGCTGGCAGCTTGCACATCAGAAGGAGCCTCTCCGGTACCTGCCTCGACCTCCTGAGGAGTAATCGCTGCATCGCCGGGATGAACTCCAGTCAAGGGTGGCATAAGATGAGTCTAGATGAAGGTCGTATAGTCGCCCTCCCCTCTGAAGTAGTCAGCATCTAGCTCTACCATGTACTGGATAATAGCCTCAACTGAGAGGCTATCAACTGTCCTCATGGATGATGGGGGTAGCATAGGAACAACTAGAGCGGGCAAGCCCAGTGTCTGGCACACAAATCTCTCACCCAGGAACCAAGCCTAGTAGAATAGGCCCTCTAGCAAGATCCAGTATCGGGAAGTAGCCCAGGCTCCAGTGTATTGGTCCTTAACTCCAGTTGGCATCATCGCCCATGGCTGCCAGGTGATCTGCAAGTAGAGAATGTACAAGTTATTAGTCACTATCAATTGCAGAATATGAATCAGAATAGTAGTAGTGGGAGTAAAGCAGAAATGACTGTGAGTTTTAGATTCCCTCGCGAGCAACAACCGTGCCGAAGTAGCGATGATAAAAAGTAATGGTCATGCCCTCACGGCTACAACGACGGCACCTACCATCATATCGCCATGAATAAGAGACGGCTGGATTGATCTTACCTATTGGCTCTATGGCAAGGGCTGGGAAATAGGCGTAAACCCACAATTACAAGAAAAGGTCAGCAATGTAAATCAAACAGTGTACGAACATATATAAAACAGAAAACGTAAGGCAAAAAAAAATGCATGAACAGATATAAAAGCAGAAAATGCAAAACATAAAGCATAAAAAGAAACAGAATTGAGAATGCAGTGCATACCTCCCAGGCTCTCCAGTAGCCTCGGGCTCTATCTCCCTTCATGTAGGAATTAGAGCTCATGTATCCGTAGAGTGTCGCGAGGCCGGCTCTACCACAGTCGTAAAACCAGACTCGGGATAAAGTCACAAGGGCACTCAGCAAGTACAAACCCACGGTATTTCACATGTTCGCTAACAAAGTGGTACCAAGAAGGTACATTAGGAAGGCCTGGGTGTACTGCTCCACCTTCTCTTGTGTCTCAAGCTAACCCCCCACGGAAACGCTTGAGGAACTAATTGTACCGCACCATAGCTGGAATGTGTAGAAGCGAACTCGCTTTGAGCAGGTAGATCCAGGCCGCCTTCCACTCGCCCATGTCCATGTCGAAAGGGATCGAATCACCCCCTACTCCCAAGCCTGTGATCATCGAAAGTCATAGGGGGTCATCGTTATCTCCCCAATAGAAGAGAAGTGGAAAGAGTTGGTCGTATCTCACCACCTCTCCACTAATACTCTGAGTAGGGCTTGGCTAGCCATGTGACACGTAAGTCTAGCGCAGAGTAAGCCAAAGCCTGCATCATCGACAAAGTCGTGGACATGAGAAGGGAGCTCGTGATACCAATCCCTAGCTATCACTGCCCTATAACCCCTACAAGAGTGAGAGTCCCCCTGTGGCAAAGAAATAGTGAATAAGATGAAAGACAGTGATGAAAGAGTGAATCAGATGAACGGTAATGCAAGACAGTCAGATGAAAGGCAATAAAATATGAATATAAAGGTTGTACCTTAGTCGCACCGTAGGAAAGGTGAGAGTCTGGCTCCCTCAGCAAGAGATCCTCTGGCATGCCATGAATCAACGAAATCATCAAAGAGCGTCATACCTCCAGGCGCCATCGTGTGCGTGCGAGGGTTGTATGTGGTCGGATCAAAGGGTCTCACCCTCAATGGTAGTAATTCAGGCTCGGGCCTTAGGGCGAAGACCTCGGCCATTGCCTCGAAATCGGCGGCAATGTCCTCTGCTACCTTGCCAGCCTCAACAACCATAGGCTCTATGACCTCGACAGCAGGTGGAAACATAGGGACCTCGGGAGGGGCACCATCATAAGAAATATCGTCTGCCATTTGAAAAGTGGGTGGAAAATGGGTGAACATTGAACAAAAATGAAAAAATTTGGGAAAACTTGAAAAAGTCAACCCTAGAAGAGAGAAAATGGGAGAAAAAGTCAAAACTCGGGAAAGTTTACCAAACCTAAGAAAAACTCGAGGGAAACAAGCCCAAAGTGTTGAAGACCTCGAAAAAATCAACGAAAACAAAATCTGATCGGTTTAAAGTGTAGAGGACCAAAGAGTTTTGTAAATAAAGTTTGTGTGGGGTGTTGGAAAACGCGTACAAAGCACAAATCTAGAGAGAGAAAGCACCTAGAGAGAGAGAGGGAAGAATTTCGGGCATGTGGGTGTGAGGAAATGAGATTTGGTTTTGTGTTTAAATTGACCCGTACCGAATTGGCAAAATTGCCCCCGAATGGCCACTAAAAGTGGGCAGCTGCCCACTATTAGTGGCCGACAAGCCCATTTGTGGCCGGCAGTCCTCCTTTGTGGCCTGGTGCTGGTTATGTTACCCTTTTGCTCTAACAGAGTATAGGAGGTCCTCTTTTAGGGTTTGGGTTGATTTCCCAGGAGCTCGAAAGTGTGCCCTGGTTGCGTTGTTTTAATGCCTACTATACTCCGGCATGTGAACGTGCCCCAATTTCAAAAGTGAGCGGGTTGTATCCTTGTGAGCATTTTCCAAAACCTCTGACAGGTAAATCGAAGGTCAGCGTCGAATGTCGCTTTTGTCTGTTTTGTTGAATTACATGTATGTTCTCTTCTGTTGCATAGAACGTGCATTTTCACATACCTCCTATGTTGCATGTGCACATTGCATCGTAAATTTATATAATTATCGCGCATAGAGCATGCTTTCGGTACTTGCACAAAACATGCTTTCGATTCTTGCATAGAACGTGCTTTCAATTATCATATGTCGACTGTCTATAATTTTGCATAGAAAATGCACTGTTATTTCATTAGTTTTCATGCTTGCTCACTTTGTCCATCTATCGCCCCTGTCTTTTATCACATCATCTCATACTTTTGGCATCTATCTTAGGACGCGTGAAACATGACCCTGAGTGGTTTTTCTCCTCTTCTCACGATTTCCACGTGATTAGAGTATCTCAGGAAGCGTGAAATGTGACCCTGAGCGATTTTTCTCTTTTTGCGATTTCAGCGTGATTAGAGTATCTCAGGACACGTGAAACACGACCCTGAGCGGTTTTTCTCCTATTCTCATGATTTCAGCGTGATTAGAGTATCTCAAGATGCGTGAAACACAATACTGAGTAGTTTTTCTTCTCTTCTCACAAATTCAGCGTGATTAGAGTATCTCAGGACACGTGAAACGCGACTCTAAGTGATTTTTCTCCTCTTCTCACGATTTTAGCGTGATTAGAGTATCTCAGGACACATGAAACGCGACCTCGAGCAATTTTTCTCCTCTTCTCGCGATTCCAGCATGATTAGAGTATCTCAAGAAGCGTGAAATGTGGCCTTCAGTGGTTTTGATCTGGGGACGGGTGAAACGCGACCCCGAGCGATTTTTCTCCTCTTCTCACGATTTCAGCATGATTAGAGTATCTCAAGACGTGTGAAACGTGACCTTGAGTGGTTTTTATCTCAGGACGCGTGAAACGCGGCCCTAAGCGATTTTATCTTGATATGCGTAAAACGCGACCCCGATCGATTTTTCTCTCCTCTTCTCATGATTTTAGCGTGATTAGACTATCTCTGGACGCATGAAACGCGACCCTTAGCGGTGTTTTTCTCTTCTCTTGTCATGGTTTCGGCATAGTTAGAGTGCGCATTTTATTCTTCCAGTGTGGAACCCATTTCATTTTAAGCTTGAGGCTCATTCATGTGCTGTTATTTTGTTATTGCTTTATCCTGTTATTGCTTATTGCATCATCTTGCATGATCATGAGTTTTTAAAATAGCTGGCTTCGCGAAGCATGCGAGTCCAGCTTTCAAAGTATTTTTTGTGTATATGATTTGTATCCTGCCCCAGAACTACACTGGTTTAATTCCCTACAAAGGAATACATAGGCAGCTTGCGAGCTCATCAATTTTATTTATGTCTTGATTGTTTGTCCAAGTCTTACGGCCTTGTCAAAATTGATCATCTTCGGGCTTTGACATTCACTCACTTCATGTTATGACTTCGAGCTCTGTCAAAGAGGGGCAACTGTAGACACTCCATTTTTTACGGCCCTTAAGACTTGGACGCCACTAATTGATCACTCAATGATGAATGTGTACGCTTGTCACATGCTTGATTTCCTCAGCCTTTAGCAGGAAACCTCAGTTTTGAACCTTCAAACCTTGTGCCTTGTTTTGGGCCAAAGCAGTGGTTTTTTAGGCATGTGCCTCTAGTGACCTGTCGTCCACTAGTGTGGCTTGTCGCCCACTAGTGCAAAAACTCAGATATTTTCTGCCAGCTATCCCCCCATGTGCATGCACCATTCCAACTGTATGTATACATATATTTTTGAGTTAGACACATGGTTTCCTATATATAGATGCCCTCCCCTCTTGCCTTCAAGGTTGGAAAAATCTAGGAGTGAGAAAATATTTTTGGAAGAGCAAAATTCTCTCTCTCTACAATTCTCTCTCTCTCTTGCAACTTACATAGCCTTTGCTCAAACACTCTAAACCAAACCTAGAAAGTTCCTTGATGAGGTGATTTGAGCTTGAATTTGAGCTCATGAGGCACTTGAGAGTGTGAAATAGTGGTTTGTAACTCAAGGGTTCATTCATTTTCAAGAGGTATACCTTCTAGTGCTTTTTGTACCATCTTTACAAAACTTGTTTCCTATCATTTCTTACTGTTTTTAAGCTGTTTATTACCTGTATTTTTGGGCTGAAACTTGTGGTTTAACGCCATTAAAGGTAGAAGGGTTGATAAGCCTTCTTTGAACCTTGCTTTTAAGGCCTTTGCCCTTGTGTTTCGCACCTTCTCATCATCTTTTTTTGAGTATTTTACCACTATTTTTCAGAGTTTTTTCAGAGGCAAAAATCATGCTTTGAAGTCCTAAAAGTGGAGGGGTTAGCCTTTTCTTCTTGTGCTTGTGTGCTAGTTTTAATTCCTCAATATTTTAGCTTATTGTTTTAGCTATTTTTATCTTCATTCCAGCACTTTTTTGGACTGTTTTTAGACTATTTTTGGACTATTTTTAGTTGCTCATTGCATTTGAGCTTTGTATAGCATGCTTGTAGTGTAATGGTCCTCATAGGCTTGGTGGTTCAGGCCTTAGCCACCAACCTATTTGAGTTGATAGTGCTTATTTCTTGCTTTTCATACTTGTTTTCATCTCTAATCGCCTCTGCAACCTCCCTCATTTCTTGGCTTTTTCTTTGTTTTGGAAGTTGTTTCAAACTACTAGCTTGTTTAAGTTTGAGATAGAGGTTGTTGTGCTTAATGGTTAAATCCTTTTGGGGGTTCATTACCAACGGCATGGCATCTCTCTCATGCCTAAAACAACTCTTTGTTTGATGCTCCTTTCCATTAGAGGACTTACTCATTATTGGACTCAATGAACTAATGAATGGATGGTAATTAAAATGAAGTAATAAAATTGGGACTAGAAGTGATGCAAGATAATAAAAGGTTTTGTGTTCAATCGGACATTAATTGAACACATGGAAACTTGGGTCATTTCATACTCACTAATGATGAAATGATTCAAGTTTCCAAGGTCAACCACTTCCCTTGAGCAATCCACGACAGGGAGGTGGTTTTGTTGGTATTTTGTTATGCATTTATTGAAATTATGTCCCTTGATTCATAAGTCATCATGTAATAAAATTGCGTCGATTGATGATTTACGAATCAAGCCTACCCCTTCTTTGACCTGTTTATTGATAAGAAATGGCAGGGTGGACAAACATCCCCTGAGAATACTTTGGTTTGTGCTCTGTTTGTCCTCTGTTACTGTAGGAGAGAACCAAAATCAGTGGTCGGCAGGCCACTTTTAATAGACGGCAACCCACTATTAGTGGCCTGCCAGCTACTACTAGACGGCAACTTCCCCTGAGAATACTTTGGTTTATGCTCTGTTTGTCCCCACTTTTTCCAGGCAGGCAGTGTCCTTTTTCCAACAGAGCAGTGCAGAGGCTGTGGTGGACAACATGTGCAATTTTCTAACTATGCAAAAGAGGCATTCCAGTAGCAAAACGGAGAGCATTATCGGGTAGAAATCTGCATCCATGCATGAGCCATCCATCGATTCTCGAGATCTATGAAGTGTTGTTATAATATTAGTGTTGTAATATTGCAGACTTATAATTAATTAGTTAGAATAGAGAGTTCGTTTCGTGTTGTATTTATTTAATTAGCTAGAATAGTTAGTTAAATTTATTGTTGTAATAATTAGTTAAGTAGCTTAGCTAATTTATTTCATTTGGGTTTGTAATTGTTAGTTAATTAGGAAATTAATTAGCTAGTTTATTTATTCGGACCCTCTTGTGCGAGGGCCAATATGTAATAATGTGTATGTCTTCCAACCCCATGTATTTCTCCCTTTTATTTACTTGCTTATGATGGGTAGTTTAGAACATCATGTTTCTTTTAGCATTTCCCATGTTTGCATCCATTTGTCTCACATGCACCAAGGCTCGGTTCATCATTCTAACAAAGCATTGTCGTTTACATACTTCATTGAAAACGTGTTTAAACCGCATGCTATCAAATTGATTCACATGTCATAATTAGTAGTCGAGCCTATTAGTTGCATATCGCATGTGTTGCATTAGAAATGTTACATTAGTTAGGAGCATGCATGTTTTCTAACTCTTTTTTGTTTCTTTTGGCTCGTCTCGGAGTACTAAGTGAGCATTTTTTTGCTTTAGCATATTGCATGAGTGTGATTGTTGCCATGTCTAGCATGTTTGCCATGAGGCTAATTGCTTAAGTGATAAATTGTTCGAATGCCTGTGGATGAAGGCTAATTGGTTGAATTGGAATAATTTGAGTAATGTCCATATGCGATCACTTTTTCAAGTGGTACATATTCAAAACACTTTTTAAAACCAAACATGAAATCAAAGTGTTCCAATTTCTACAAATTAGTCTATACTTGCGTGCAACACATAGTAATGCTAGTCTAATAACCAAAACATATAATATAAATAAAATTCACATTATGATTAGTAGAGGCCGATCTTTGATCGGGCGAGTGGGGTGCTCAATTCATGACCTTCTCCTCTCGTACCTAAGTTCCCGAGCCGAGACAATCTTGGTGATGACGGACACGTGGCCTTTGGCACAAGTCATGGGTTTCCTAAATTTTTCAAAAATATTTAGGTGGTGACTCTGTATCTGTCAAAACAGTCCATTTTTTGGCAATTTGATCCAAAATAGATTTTCTAAAAGATTTGTCGAATTTGGACTTCATCTATTTCACATTGCACTTGTGGAATCAGATTTAGAACCACGGGAATCCGAACTGTAGGGCTAGTCGTATCCTAAAGAAGTACAAAAAGTCAAGCTGCAGGTAGGTGATTAGGCTTATTGATTTTAAATCACATCATCTTTTCAACCATTACTCTCTAGCCTATGGTTTTTAATTTTCTTTCTCTAAAATAATATATATATATATATATACATGGGACATAACTATTTTTGTAGTCATCTTTTTATTTTCTTTTTCTTTTTCTATTTTAAGAAAACCCCTAACAACTTTGTTAACATGGTCAATTGATCATAAGTGATTAGAACAAGAGATAATATATAAATTTGAACTATTAAATAATTTTTCTTTAGTTATCGCAATTAATTTGTGAGTGTTGTTGGCAGGTATATTGGACAGTTAACACAACAAACAAGAACTCCAAGTATTTTCGCAATCCAGAAAAATTTGATCCATCAAGGTACGAAGGTGAAGAAGCACCAGCTCCATACACGTACCCTCCATTTGGAGGTGGACCTAGACTTTGCCCTGGAAAAGAGTATGCTCGTTTAGTAGTGCTAACTTTCATCCACAATGTGGTGAAGAAGTATAAATGGGAGGTACTTTTTCCGAAGGAGAAGGTTTTAGGTGATATGGTGCCAATGCTAGAAAAAGGAGTTCCAATTCGCCTCCACCCCCATTAATGTTTTTAATAATGCTAAACAAATAAAATATTAATATTTGTGATCTTTTGTAAATTTTTTGTTTGGAGCAAAAACATACATTATTGTGACTAAAAATTTAAAAAATGTTCCTATTATTTCATTTTGTACAAATTTTACGCATAAAAATTCTATGCATAAAACACTTTTCTAGTATTTATTCATGTATGTGATAAACTTTCTGTGCCATTCAATTTGGACTTCATTGATCCACCTGATACTATGAGCAATGCCATAACATTTGTGTCGTCTTAATTCACACAAACGCTACGATAGATAAGGTTTTTAGGATTTTTTTTTTCATTTTTAAAAGTGAAAATTTTATTATAAAATTTTTGTTGCGGTAATTCAAAAAACCACCTCTATAGTCGTTTTGTTTCAACAATACCTTCCACAAGAAGCCAAATGTGTGTGTTTGAGATAAAGTTCACAAATGACACTTTCCCTTAAATTTGTAAGAATTTTAAATTAAATCACAAACTTTTTTGCTAAAGCCTTTAAATACATTAATTAATTATTTTCTTTACACACACTAAAAATTTTATTATAAGATTTTTGTTGCGGTAATTCAAAAAACCACCTCTATAGTCGTTTTGTTTCAATAATACCTTCCACAAGAAGCCAAATGTGTGTGTTTGAGATAAAGTTCACAAATGACACTTTCCCTTAAATTTGTAAGAATTTTAAATTAAATCACAAACTTTTTTGCTAAAGCCTTTAAATACATTAATTAATTATTTTCTTTACACACACTATATACATATTGGATCTTGAACCTTATGAAGACTCTTGTATATTATAGAATGTGAGTGTAAAGAAATTAGAGGTGCATTTAAAAGCAACCCCTATTTTGCTTCTATTTGTGCTGGGTTAATAATGAACAAGTTAAAATATACAAACGAAAATTTAAAGTATACAAAAGAAAAAAAGAAACTAAAAACATATAATTGTGTTTTTGTATATTTCAAAAAATCATTATATCAGACATATGTATGTAACCAATAGCGAAGCCACATGGAGACTAGGGGGGTCACGTGCCTCCCCTGGAATTTTTTTTTATTTTTTTTTACATATGTATGTAAATAAAATTTTAAACAAAAATAATATTTAGAATAAAATGTCAAGGGCATTTTTAAATTTATGAAAACAATAGTGATTGTTTTATTGAAAATGAAGTGACTACAACAAATTATATTTTTATGTATAAAAATTTTGTAAAAAAATCTCAATATAAAATTAATATTCATCATTATTGATATACAAATATAATTAATCCCACTATATATATGTAAAAATAATAGAGTGTTAGTTATATTTGCATGTGGAGTTCACCCTTCATATGTTGCTTTACTATTGGTTAGTGATATCATATGTCAATAATGACGTGATATCATAATTATATGAAATTTTTACAAAATTTGATTTATCTTACCATTATATAATTTATTTTATAACTTAAATATATGACTTTTTACATTGTCCATCATACACTAATTATACGCAATACTTTCTTTTCAATTTTACTCGAAGTTAAATGTAAAATTTTATGTGAATACTTTTGTAATAATTTATTTAAGTTTTTGTACTTAATATTAATTCAAAAATTATTATTATTTTCTTATTGTTAGTTATGGAAAAAAAAAATCTCATAGGGGTGAGCATAAAGCCCAGTAGAGAATTCTTAACAAAGTATATACATTTTATACAAGCTTCGCAAAATGAAATACACATGCCATGCTATGTTTTCTTGAAAGAAGATCACATTTTTTTCACCTTTTGAAATCATCATGCTCAATGATAAATTAAACTCTCAACACTTCAAAATTTATTAATTTAATTCAACGGAGCGGTAAATACGACTCTGGTAATCCCTAGATTGGTGTCTGCAAGTAGGTATAACTAGCACTGCCAAAACCTCACTTTACCGATTGCTAACCGAAAGGGAAGTGGTACCTCCTCCGCGCATGTTTTTGGTGTTTCACCTACTTATTCAATTTCATCTACACCTCCTATCCAGACTTACCAACATATTTACCCCAAGGTAATTCCATAAAAATTCCATTCACAAACTTTCTTTTCTCAGTGCAAGGTTTCCAAACTCAAATCAAAATATGTGACAACCAATTGAAAGGGGTATGCAATGCAATAATTACCAATGCTACAGTATATATTTATCCGCTCTCAAATATCTCAACAATAATGCCATAAGAATCAAATTTCCATTTCTTCTTTCAATACCATTTCACAAAATAGCCACATATTCATTTAATTCTAACAATAAATAGCAGCATTTCCTTATTTTGTATCTTCTTCATCAATTTAGTCATCATGAAACTATAACAACATTTGAACAACAACCCCCAATATCAAAAACAAAAATCCTCATTTTTCTTTCATAAAAATCATCATTATATATATATATATATAACGTATTCTTATCCTTTACTCATTTTGGCCCACAAGATAATATATTCACTAAATCAACCACATGTTCTCTTCATCTTTTAAAAACCCCCAAATTGGTAGGTTTTTCTTACTACAACAACACACACACCCACATCATTTGTAATGATGCCTTTAAAAGAACTTTCCTCAATCAATGTAGTTCAAAACCCTCAACAAATTATTTCACAAGAAATAAGGAGCCATTCCACTCCCAAAACTACCCACATTGTTGAACCAACCATCATGTTCCAATATTAACAAGAGAAATTTCGAAAATCAACAAGATCCTACAAAAATATATATATAACTCTAAGAAAATCCCTACCTCAAGTTTGGAGAAGAAAATGAGATGGAACCCTTAAAATGGATGGTGTTGAAACACGATATTCACCGCACACAACGAAGCCCTCAGTTAGCTCTCCAACTTCGATGAAGGACCTTGGGTTAAAAATGTAACGAATCTAAAGAGATCAAGAATTTTAAGAGGTTTGGTGTAGGAAATGTAGAGAGAAGAAAGAGGAAATGATTTTCAAAGAGAGAGATGTGTAAAAAGTGATGCACACAGCCCAAAAGAGAGAAAAGGTGAATTTTTCGGAATCAGCGTTTCCTGCACGTGCGGCACTCACCCCCGCACGTGCGGCGCTTCCCCCGCACCTCCTTCCCCACCTTCTCTTTCACGTGCCTTTTATGCAGTAGGCAACCCAAGACTCCCCTGCTTTCCGCACGTGCAACCTGACTCCCCACACGTATGGCCCCTCTTCCGCACATGCAGCCAAGGCCCCCGTATGTGTGGCTCAGCCCTTAGCCTAGAAAAATTCTCAACTCAACTCCGAAACAAGTGAAAATCAACACCGGAATAAACAAAAACAAGAATTTTTTAGAAAACTTCTGAACACAACAAACCCAAACGATTAACATGGCTCCAAGTCAAACCCGACACTCTAATAAGGCAAACCCAAAATTAAACGAAGAAGAAAGAGGTGAATAATACACTTGGTCATCACAACCTCCCCACCATAGGAAATTTCCTCCCCGAAATTTATATCAACTACTCAAACAAAAGACTTTCTAGCAATCACAACCATGCCATTACAATTTCAAATCACAAAATATATTTTTAACCAACATTTACTATTATCTTCGTGTCTACCTCAATAACGACAACCGCTTATAGTGAGCATACATATAAAGCTTTTTAGCAAAATATCAATCCACAATGACTTCATGCTAAGAATAACAATACATATAATGACATGTGATCAACACTTTTGATACATTTCCCTCCAACACTAGGGAATATTACAAATTAAAACGACTAAGCATTTTGAAACAATTCCGGATACTTGGAGCGAACTTTTGCCTGCCGCTCCCACGTTGCTTCCTCAACCCCATGGTGTGTCCACAACACCTTTACCAACAGTATAGTTTTGCCCCATAGCACTTGTTCATGGGTATCTAGTATTTGAATTGGTCGCTCTTCGTAAGAGGCGTCCTCATCTACTTCCAAATCAACCCAATCAAGAACATGAGAAGGGTCGGGCTCATACTTCCTAAGCATAGATACATGAAACACGTTGTGAACCCCCGAAAGTTGTGGCGTTAAAGCCAACCGATACGCCACTTGTCCAATTCTCTCCAATATCTCTAAAGGCCCAATGAACCTTAGAGACAACTTACCACTCTTACCGAATCTCATCAAACCCCACCTAGGTGAGATCTTAAGGAATACATGGTCACCCACTTCAAAAGACAAAGCTTATCTCCTCTTATCAGCATAACTTTTCTGTCAGCTTTGAGCCGTAGCTAACCTCTTTCGAATGAGGGCAACCTTCTCGGTTGTCTCTCTAACAATCTCTAGGCACAGTAACGATGCATCACCCACCTCAGCCCAACAAACCGGTGATCTACAAGGTCGGCCATACAAGGCCTCAAATGGTGCCATCTCAATGCTAGCTTGATAACTATTGTTGTAGGCAAACTCAATCAATGGTAAGTGCCTCTTCCAAGACCCCTTGAAATCAAGGACACAAGCTCTAAGCATGTCCTCCAAAATCTGAATAGTACGCTCCGACTGTCCATTGGTTTAGGGTGGTAAGCGGTGTTAAAGTTCAACTTAGTTCCCAACGCCTCTTGAAGGCTTTGCCACAACTAGGCGGTAAAAGGAGGATCTCTATCTGATACAATGGTTATAGGAACCTCATGGAGTCGAACTATCTCTCTAATTTACAACTCTGCCAAATGCTCAACTGAGTCGCCGGTGCACATTGGAATGAAATGCATAGACTTAGTCAACCTATCAATAATCACCTAAACGACAGCATTGCCTCGTTGCGTTCTAAGAAGCCCAACTACAAAGTCCATAGTAACGTGTTCCCATTTCCACTCGGCTATTGGTAAGGGTTGTAGCAAACCCGCTGGTCTTTGGTGTTCAGCCTTCACTTGTTGACAAGTAAGGCACTTCGATACAAATAAAGCGACATCTCGCTTCATACCCCTCCACCAAAACTAACGACTGAGATCATGATATATTTTGGTAC